CGCTACCCCGACGAGGCCTGTTCAACTACATAGTATTTTTACTTGGTGTTTGTATTGCCGGAAATGAATGTAATTAATTACCTTAATTAGTCAGTCCGAGCTGTGAATCAGGTGCGAGTTAAAGCCGCTTGGTTTGGCGAATCAGGACAAAAGTCCAAATTTTGGGTAAAAGGACAATCGATTGGTGCAAAGCGAGCCTCGCCTCGATTGTACCTAGTTTGTGAGCGTGCGCAGAGGAAGACGCAGGAGATGGTAGAATCAAGAATAAATTGATAGCGTTGAAACTACTACGCTATCACTAAGCTACGCGCAACCAACCATTGATGTATCGTCGGGGGAACACCTTGGTTGCGCAAGAGGACTTGTTGGTGTGCGAAGATACACCTTGGACTGAAAGGGGTGTCGACTAGTCATCCGGTTAGTAACCGGATGATCGGCACGGTTATACCCTCCCCTACTTAAGACAGAACGTACCATCATCACGTGGTCAAAATGAGAGGGAACTCCCCGAAACACACATGACGACAGCGGAGTGGTGCCAAGCGAGGACACGGCTGAAGTGGCACAGCGTAAGGCCGACTGGGAGGCCAAGGCGGCCGTGAAGCGCGAACGGCTTGGACAGCTGGAGCAGCAAGCGGCTGCCGACTTGGTAAAGAGCGCTGTACAAACAGTGGGCGCCGAAGGTGTGCAAAAGCTGCTGGAGCAGCACTTGGCACGGGAGGAGGCCGCCAAGAAGGCAAGAGCGGCCGAAGAGGTGAAGGCGAAGGCAAGGCGCGCCGAAGAGGCCAAAGCGATCGCAGCAGCTGCGACGAAGGCGGCGGACGAAGCAGCCAAGGAGGCTGCGGAAGCAGCGAGCAAGGCGAGCAGCGAAGGTGTGACTGGGACACCTTCAGGCGATGGGGGGCATCCCAACGCTATGGGCGTTGGGGGAAAAGAAAGAAAGGCGAGGGGCGTGGGAACCACCGTTAATACCGAACTTGTTGGACCGGAGCGGACCGGCCTAGCCCGAGACGAAGTGTTCGAGCGAGACTTGGGGTTCCACTGGGATCGCTCTCGGATCTTCACGCCTGCCGGTTGGGGTGACGTGGACTTGGAGTATGTGCGCGGCGTTACGCGCCATTTGACGGTGGTACGCGAGTTTGACGAGACTCGCGAGGATTGGGGATATCAGGTGGCCAATGCTGCCGGCATGGAACGGTACCTGCGCTTGTATTCAAGCGCACAATCGTTTGAGTTGCGGGTGCTGTGGATGCTGCTTGCCATGGAGTGCATGCAGCTTGCGAGGGTGAGTTTTCACCGGTATGATGAGTTCAAGGGCGCCATGCGCGAGTTGCATGAACGGGAGCGCCTGGAGCGCTGGACGGTTGACGTGGGGCGGATCGAGCTTTCAATGACGTGGGGC